TATCCCTACCTGCTTTTTCCTTTGTTATCCCTATCATCTTCAGCATTACAGGTAGTCCTCGACTTACAACAGTTAATTTAGTGACCATTCAAAGTTACTACAGCACTGAAAAAGTGACTTATGACCATTTTTCACACTTATGACCATTGCAGCATTCCTATGGTCATGGGATCAAAATTTGGATGCTTGGCAGCTGACTCATATTTATGACGGTTGCAGTGTCCTGGGGTCATGTGATCCCTTTTGTGACCTTCTAACAAGCAAAGTTAATGGGGAAGCCAGATTTACTTAACCCTGTTAAATTAACTTAACAACTACAGTGTTAAGAACAAGAAAGGTTGTAAAAGGGGGCAAAACTTAGCAATGGAAATTTTGGGCTCAATTGTGGTCTTAAGTCGAGGACTACCTGTACTGAATCTTCTAATCTTTTTCTGAAGAAATTAAATCTCTCAGATGGAGCTCAACTAAGAGTGACCTTTAAATGCCTAGGACAACACCTTTTTAAAAAATTATCTGTTTACCCACCTCAAGATTTTTGTTGAGTCCCTATATCTCAGTTAGTATTATCAATGGTTGTGCTAGCATTCTTCTTAATCATTTTTACCAAGTCAACTCTTCACCACTAAATCTCAACAGGACAGTCCCTCTGTCATTGTTTCTATGATTTTACCTTCTTATTCTTATCCTGTTGATTAAAATTTGTGTACAACAAATCTATAAAAATCTCTACTGTTAGGTTGAAGGGTGTAGTAAATCAAATAAAGTGGTGCCTAGGTTATAATTTTTCAGTCCTGAAATTTAAAATAAAGTATCATTGCCTTTTGCCCTGTCTGCAAATTTCAAACCTCTCCAACATTAGAGGTTTTTAAGAAGAGATTGGATAACCATTTGTCTGAAATGGTATAGGTTTTCCTGCCTGAGCAGGGGATTGGATTAGACCTCCAAGGTCCCTTTGAATTCTGTTATTCTGTTTACTATACTCAGTGTGGTATAGTAAATATTTTTAACTGGCTGACTGGTATATATTTTTAACTGGCTGACAAACTGTACTTAACAAGTAGTCCGTAATGGTACTACATCTAGATGGAGGGAAGTAAACAGTGGGGACTGTGGGGTACCAAAAGGTTCTGTCCTAGGCCCAGTACTCTAATTCTAATTCTTCCTTCCTTCCTTCCTCTTTCCAGCAAAGCGGGGGGGTAGGTGGGTGGGAGTGAGGGATTGCAAGGCTGACTGGAAAATTGTCACAGAACTTTGAAAATAATGAACATGTGACCACAGCAGCAGCCCAGAGGCCCAGCAGCAGCCAGGAGCATTGAAGTAGTCACAACCTGAATTTTGGATGCATTCTGTAAGTTAGCCCATTTGAGGTACCTTGGTTCAAAAAATATTGCCCTATGATACACCAATTCACCCAGTTAAAGGTCATAACAACAAAAGTTTTAGTAGTATTTAGATAGATAAGTCAGGTTGGTGAAAATACCTAATACTCCTCTGTTTTCTGCCTAACAACAACCCTGAGAGTTGTGTTAGGATGAAAGAGAGAGACTGACCAGCCCAATCACCCAGTTGGCTTTCATACCTAAGGGAGGCCTAAGAATTCACAGTCTCCTGATTTCTAGGTCAGTACCTTAACCAATACAGCAAACTGGCTCTTGTGAATTTAATTTAAATCTACTTTAATACCATTGAATATAAATTTATGAAATTTACCAATTAAGCAATCCTAATTCTATCCTGTGTTAGCTACAGTCTGCATATATGAAATCCTGACCCTAGCTTCTTACAAATTCTCCATCTCATTTATTTTTGTCTCTCTGAACACAAATTCAGAAACTGTATACAGATGTACAAATGAGCTAAACAATGCACACTTTTCTGAGTGGATGCATGAGCAAAGATCAAATTACAGAAGTTAGGAACTTATTCTAAAGACAACTGAATTTTGCCACATCTTTCTGTATTTCTACTTTTCATCATTTTATTTTATTTTTTTGTTGGTAATTTTAAGGAACTGTTTGGAAGAGGCACCCTTTATTTCTAAAGGATTTCCTGAGATATCTTTGCTCATTCCCAAACAAGTTGTTTTACATGCATTGACAACCACAGAAGTACTTTAACTTGCTTTGTCTGACAAATAATTAGCTCTTCTGGGATGTCTATCAATGGAATGCTTATTAATCACATTCCATGGAAGAAACATTGCTTTGTCAAGTTTTGAGAGCAAAGGGACTGATATAATTTAGCGTTTTGCAAGGACTTCATTTTAGCTCCCGGGGGAGGGGGGCTCCTTTGCACTGCACAGAATATAATAACCTCAAGCCATGTTTCTCAACCTTGGCAATTTGAAGATCTCTGGACTTCAACTTCAGGCTGGCTGGGGAATTCTGGGAGTTGAAGTCCATATATATTCAAGTTGCCAAGGCTGGGAAACAAAGCATCAGGCTGAGTAAGATGTCACAAACTTAAGCCAAAGGAGCAATGTGTTTGTTTGGGGGAGGGGGGGAAGAGGGAGAAAGATCTAACTTTTTTCCATTCTAGTTCACATGAACCATCAACCTTGCTAAATAACACCTTTGCTCTTCCCATTTGAAAAACAAAATGAAAATCTCGATCCCCCATTGCAAATATCTCCTACCCCAACTTCCAAATCCTCAAATTATTTATTTGTATTAAAATGCTGTTCCACTGCTTTTGGTTCTTGGTTTTCTGGCTAACCACACTGCCCCCTGCTCTCAAAAGCAAGCCCTTCTCTTACAAGGAATCCCTTTCCACAACTTAATTATTCACAGTATGCTTCTTCCAGTAACTTAATTCCTGGTTTTCTTCCTTTAGCTGCCCCCATGTTGAACTCAATATGGGCGTTTTGCAAGCAAGAAGAGGCAGATCTAGAGCCTTCAGATAGCAGCTACCAATTATAGCCACACACCAAAGAACACATCTGTCTGAGCTAGTATGGGTCATACCATTTAGTCAGAAAAGAATATATAGTTAACCAAGTAAGCTATAAACCTACAGAGATTGCTTGGTCAATAAGCATTAGGAAGAGCCTGAAGTTTGAACAATACAGGTAGCCTTGACTTATGACCGTAATTGAGCCTAAAATTTCTGTTTTAAGTGAGACATTTGTTAAGTAAGTTTTGCCCCATTTTACGATTTTTCTTGCCACAGTTGTTAAGTGAATCACTGCAGTTGATAAATTAGTAACCTGGTTGTTAAGTGAATCTGACTTCCCCATTATCTTTGCTTGTCAGAAGGTCGCAAAAGATGAGTACATGACCCTGGGACACAGCAAAAGTCATAGATATGAACCTGTTGCCAAGCATCTGAATTTTGATCACATGATCAAGGGGATGCTGCAAAGGTTGTAACTATAAAAAACAGTCATAAGTCACATTTTTCAGTGCCATAGTAACTTTGAACGGTCATTAAATGAACTATTATAAGTCAAGAATTACCTGTACTTATTATATTATAGGTACCGGAACAATGGAATTGCAGTGCCTTGGCTTCGACATTATAATAGCTTCTAGGCTAACTATTTTATCTGGAATTGACATAATTAAATACTACCACCACCATGCCAAGCTTGCTATAGAGAATCCAAGCAACTTTTTAAAATAAAGTGAAAAATAAACAAGAAGGTGATCCTGGAAAATGGCTGATGATAATTAAACCATTTCTGTACCAAGTAGTTTCCTTAGAGGGATAGATAGACCCTCCAGGTAGGCAAATATTTTTGGTAGGAGATGATCGCAAACTGTAATCAGAGACTCTGAAACTAGAAAGAAAAAGAACAAAAAGAATACATCTTAAATTTACCATTTAAAAAATAATTATAGTAATAGTTGTTCCAAATATACTCCCACCCCCAGCATTTAGCCACTTTATCTAAAGAGTTTGAGACCCACAAAACCTATAACTGGAAAAAAATTAGCTGTAAGAGATTTTAAAAATGTACAGATACCCTTGAGTCAAGCTTGACCTGCGATATGAAGACACATTTCTACAATTTAATTTTGCCATTGTGCAGAAGTGGGTTCCAATTGTCTTCTTTCATCATATTTTTTCATCTTCTCTAAAATTCCCCAGTTGGTTACCATTCAATTAAAAATCAGGAATCTGTTACCTTTTGAGATTGGACAAGTTCAGCCAGATACTGAATTAACTCCAATAAATCTTTTGCTGCTCTAATAAACATTATTACCCTTAACTTGGTGGTTCTGGATTTTTTTTAAAATTTGTAGTTAACATGAGTATTATTTTATTGCAATTCCAGCCATAGCATCTGATCTATAGCCAGAATTACATTTCTATAGCTTGGCTTCTATTTCCATATTCTACTGTCACTTCCCCATCCTGTTATGGTTGCCCTCTCCACCAGAGCCAACATTATAATTTTCTTTCTTTTCATTTGACTAAGGCACAAACAAATCTTAAAATCCTGGTTGCATCAACAAAAACGTGTAAACTAAAGATGCCATATTCTAGTTCTGACCACAATTATGAAAGATTAATGCAGTTAATGCCAGGTTTAGCATCAGGCTAAATTACTTCGGGATTGTTGTAAAGAAAAAAAAATAGGAGAAAGGGAGAAGTATATTTACCACACTAAAGTACCATAGACAGGAACGGGTGTAAATGTAATAATCTTACACCGATCTATCCGAAGGCAAATTTTTCTGGATTTGATGAAACTGACAGCTGGGTATATAGAGGTTTATACTTCAGGCGTGCTCTTTCCAAACAGGTTTTAAAATGCGTATAGTTTAAAAAACAAAACAAAACAGGGACGAACTTCCTCTTCACCATAAAGCTCTTGGCACTTTCCGTAGGATATAAGCATTTGAATTTCACTCCGCTATGAATCCCTTTTGACGCTTCCATGTTTGATATCTCAGCGAACAAAACTTCCCAGTCTCGGATACTGTAAAGAGTTAAGTTCAAGGGAACGGACTTAAGTATTGCTTCCGGGCATGCTCAGTGTTTCCCAAAAGTGGGAGGGGCATGAGAGAGAGAAAATAACGAGAGAAGGGCGGGGGAGAAGACCTCTCTTCTGCTTAGTGTGATTTTAAACCAGGCGTTCCGAATATCGGAGTGGTAAGTTTATTGTGTATTGTATCTTTGGAGAATATTGACATAACTTGGACTGGAAAGGAGAGTATGAGGATAGAACCCTCCTTTGGGTTCAAAAGGATCTCAAAACACCCCCAAACAAAACAAAAACAAGAAAAAATCACGACAACTCCGATTGAGCAAGCGAAGCCAGTGATTGGTTAAACCTCTGTGCGGTGGCTAATTTTCTTCTTTTTAAATATCTTTATTAAATTTCAAAATCAAACATTGAAATACAAATTACATAAAAGGAAAAAGGGAAAGGGAATATTGGGACAAGTTAAAAGTGACAAGAAAAAAATCCATCAAATAGCGATGTAGTAGTGACCTCCGAATTTTGTTCAGTTGTAAGACAATAATATATAAGCATGTTTTTACATGGGCTTAGAGGAATTTAGGAACTGGTTTTTAATTTTTTGCATAAAATGAAGTTTGGCTTCTGCCAAGGAAATTGGGTTTACTTGTACTCATGTAAAACATTAATAATCCAGTGCCTTCATTTAGATGAAACTTACAAAATATTGGAGTTAGCAATGAGTTTTACAAAATTGTTTCTCAGACTGGATGATTGTGTTTACGCAATCCATAAGGCTGTGCCAGAAGTCCCACCTATCATATGTTGCTGCCTGTTAGGTGTTCTGAGAAAAGCCTGACTTAAATTAGTTTACTGTACATAGAAAGTACTTCTCTCTGTCTGAAAACATTTATTCTCTACAATTAACAGGAACCCACACTGCTAGCACTCCTTTATACAAATAAAATAGTTCTATAATATTAACCCAAGTAAATTATGTACTGAGTCCATGGAAGACAAATGCCAAATGTTCTAGTAATATTGGGTAAATGCCCAAGGGAAAAAATCTCAAGGCTCTTCATGTAATAGGAGAAAACAAAAACTTGCTTTGTAAGCTGGAAAAAGAGCATAGGATGATGCTCTTTGGATTATGACAAATTAAAATGTAACAACACCTAACAAAATTCATTGACCTGTTGTGCTGAAATTTCATATCCTCTTAATGAAGTTACTATTCCTGAAATTTAGGATTTTTTTTATTACTATTAATTCCAGTACTAGTTAATGAAAGAGATAATTGTGATCTGAGTTGAATTGAGGGGTCTCTGGGCCAGCTGAAAATGAATAACCTGTTTTCTAAATCCACTGAACTGGGGTCCAAATTAAAACTTCTGTTCATCAGTAGTTAGATCCCAAGAATATTTTCTGTCCCTGGTCACTCAGGTCTAGCCAGATCTAGTCAACATATAGCATTTGTTGTTATATGTTGTTGATAGCCTCAACATGTTGCATTCTTTGTTCTGTGTTGTTGATGTAACTCCACAAAGCTGTTTAAATCTGTAATGTTACTACAGGATTTGTGACCAGAGCCCTATAGCAGAAATAGTAAGTAATGTGCTTGGAAGATGTTCTGATATTCTAATTGTTAGAAGTAAGTCTTCATCCTGGTTCATCCAAGCCGGGAATAAATAAGCAAACATGGCGACTGCTTTGGGAAGAAGATTACAGTTTATTGCAGAAGACAGATAAGCAGCAGAGGAGAAGAAAAAAAGAGAGCGAGCACATGGGTAGAAGGCCTTTTTATACCCTCTAGCCTTGCCTGGAAGTTTCCTGTTCCTGTGGCATGAACTTTGAAGNTCTTTTGTCTTGAGATCCCTGGCTCCAAACTTCCTGATGGTTCCACATCTGCATATGTATAAGACTAACTACTGCCCTGGGCAAAGAGATGAGGCCAGGTTTGGTTTCTGCTTTTCAAAAAATGCTTTTAAAAATCCTTTTGGTGAACAATATTTTTTCTGCCTTTTTAATATTTCCTTCTCTGGGTTAACTTCCCACATTTTGGTCCTGAACTTTGCCTTAAAGTTTTAGTATTAACAGAAATCATCCAGTGCTCAGTATTTATTTATTTTTTTTTGCTTATTCCAGGCAGATTTCTTCTATATCTCTGACTCAGCTTGTTTCATGGCATTCCAGAAGAAACTGCAGGGGCTGGTTGCAGCCGCCATTACCCCAATGACTCAGGAGGGGTAAGTGTTTTGTTGATGCTAAAAGCAATATTAGTTTAGTACATTAAATTAAATGTACCATATCCAAACATCTTCAAATAAGGGGGCAATGGCCTTCTGGATAGCAACAATTAGATCTTATCATATTTGTTTTTTGGTTCTTGGAAGTATTTAACTTGCTTGAATTGTCTGAAATATCTTTATTCAACTACACAAATTGAATGTATACTTTGCAATTCTCCCCTCCTGGCTTCTACATTTGCCAAAATCCATTTTTCCTCTGCAGATTGCTTTTATCTTCCCTGTATTTAACAATTACTTTGTTAAATGTTGATATGTGACACCTATCAATATAGCTCGGTATACAAATCCTCAGGTGTGTCTGAAGTAGTTTTTCAGTTTCTAATCCAGGCATGTCAAACTCGCGACATCACGTGACGTCGCACGACATATCGGAGCTTTTTCGCCATTGCCAGCAATGGGGTGGGCACGGCTCCGGTATGATGAAACCGGCCTGCGGGCCGGCAGTTTGACACCCCTGTTCTAACCTATATAGATTCCTCCATCAGATGCAGAAGGTCCCAATGCAGTATCATGCCACTATAGTATGGAATAAACCAAGAGTTTTTAGAAAAGATACTATCATTTGGCAGTAGACAATTTGTAAGAGGAAAATAACAGACTTGGGTCTGATATTGTAAGCAGTCTTTTCTTCTCAATATTTTGGAGACATTGTAGGCACGTCCAGCTCCCATGCAAAGTCCTAGTGCTGGGAAAGGTGGAATGAAACAGAGGAGAATGATCAGCAGCAGACAAGATTACAATAGCAATGGGTGCACACCATTGGAAAACTTGAAGGGTCGGGTTAGGCATAGATCATCCTGGGGAAATTCTATTTATGTCCTTGTTGAAAGTTGACCCTGGAATGGTGGTACATCAATTTTCTTTAAACAAATACACCTGTCAGAGACTTCATCCAACTTTATCCTTAACTATTAAGGATCTAGATCACTTGATAACTCTTATTTAGTAAACTGACTTTTAATAGGAAAGATGATATAAATGTCTTTCTATGTGTGCTAAAACTTTTTCCAAAGCAAAATCTTGAAAGTCATATAAAAATTCAACTCTTAACAGATTTTGTTTTGAACCATTTTCTGCTTGCTTTTATAAACTAAATTTTCCCCTTCATAAAGTGTTCTTTGAAGGGAGGGGAAACTGCTTATTAGATCTTATTCACTATTTTGTGCCAATGACAAAAGAAGGAAAAAATTCTGAATCTCCATCTTCAAGAACTTTAGTTTGTAAGTTGTTACTTGTAAAAGATTTTTATAACTAGCTCCATCTGCTCTGTTATGTTCCTTTTTTCTTTTTTCTTTTAGAAACATCAATCTCTCTCTGATTGGGCAGTATGTGGATTACCTAATAAATCAGCAAGGTGTCAGGAATGTATTTGGTAAGACACAGATTATAACTTGTATTTCAAGGAAACTTTTCTTTTGAATAAAAGGGACAGCTTCTGGTTTAGAAATAGATACAGTATCAAACATGGATAACCAAGAGATAACTATGAATGGTGACTTATCCAGCATATGACCAAACTGAATACAAATTCACTCCATTTGATTTCATTTTGTCTCTCCCTTGGTGTAAGTGGCTAATTAAACTAGAAGAAGTGTACTAAGGTAAGTAAATTAATTACTAAATAAATTAAGTTTGGGATTATGTGTCCAAGCAAGCTAGGATTTAAAAGCCCTCAACTGCCTTAGTTTAGCAGCACTTCTTAAAAAGAAACAGACAGCTAAGAGCTCACAGCCAGAGCAAGCAGGAAAATAAATGGGAAGTTAGGCAAGAAAGCTTGGGAGTTGCAGAGCTGATCTTCCAAGGTTTTGCAAATAATGTTTAGCTGATTAGTAGCAGCTGTTTTGTGTGTGGGGGTGTGTGCCATACTCACTTATTTGTTGAGCACATGATCTGAGGGGGATGTCTTATCAGCTTGTGCTAACTTACTTGACCTCATAACTAGCAAGAGGATGGACCTGCATTCCTTAGCTAGCCATTCAAGGCTTGGCTAGCCCTCTGTAGAAAAGAAAAGAGCAACAGTAGTTGGAATAAGGGTACAGGAGAATAATCAGGAGAAACAGTTTTGTGAGGAAGATTAAGAGGAGAAGGAATTATTGCACCACAGGTGCATTGAAGCAGCAGCTACTGTGAAATGTTTGAGTGGCAAATATATGCCAGTTATACCTGTTGCAAATGGAAGCTTCTCTCCTTGCTAAAAGAGAAGCTGAAAAGGGTGGAGACCAGCCTTATTTAAGATTCATCAGGAAAAGTAACGAACATACCCCCCGAGATCCGGACGAACTACCCCCCGAGATCCGGACGATTCCGGATCTCCTAACCTTCCGCCGCGCCCTCAAGACATGGCTTTTTCAACAAGCGGGCCTGACCTAGGGTGAATTTTAAATAGGGATAATTTTTAATGATTTTAAATAGTCACAGCCACTAATATTTGGATTTTAATTGGTTTTTAGAAGGGGTAATTCTGTATATTGTTT